AATCCCTAATGATTTTGTAAACAAGGTACTAAAGTCTTTCAACATGCTAATTAAAACACATTTATCTTGAGTCACAGTTCTGTGGAGAATTGTGTGTTTCCTGGGTACAGCTTCACATCAAAGGTCAATGCCTTCTCCACTTTTACTCAAGTTTTGTCTTTCTGGTGAGAAGCAATTCTGGTAAAGGCAAGAACATTCCTTAGGCAGTTTTAGGAGTCACTCTTGTTTCTGGAAAAGAACCTATTGCTTCACAGACCAGAGTCTCCACCAGATCCAACATGCCACTTGTTGACTCTGAAATGTCCATTTTCTGAGTCAGAGCACTCAGTCTTAAATGTCTCTATTTACCTCATTTGGACAATGGGAAGCCTTTCTTTTCTGTGCCACTTTTCACTGGGAAACATGACAAGTAGAGGATTGAGAAGCTGTGGTCAAAGGATCAAGTTCATGTGCAGCCCAGCTATCTCCTGCTACATGTCCATATATATGCCCATCATTCAGGAAGTGAGCTTCAAATTCTTAGCTCAGAAAAATTACAGGTGAAGATATGTCTTAGGATGTCAGGGCTCCCTAGAAATAGTTAATCCATTGATACCTGGATTATTCTGAACTTATGTTTCTTTGCTTTTAATATTCCAGTTTTAACATATGTTTGTTTTAATGATTTCAGGTTAATATTTTAGTCTATGGCAGTGGTTCTCAACCTTCCTAATGCCGCGACCCTTTAATACAGTTCCTCATGTTGTGGTGACTCCCAACCATAAAATTATTTTCGTTGCTAATTCATAACTGTAATTTTGCTACTGTTATGAATCGTAATGTAAATATCTGATATGCAGGATGCATTTTCATTGTTACAAATTGAACATAATTAAAGCATAGTGATTAATCACAAAAACAATATGTAATTATATATGTGTTTTCTGATGGTCTTAGGGTCGTTCGACCCCCAAAGGGGTCGCGACCCACAGGTTGAGAACTGCTGGTCTATGGTCTTATAGACATTTATCTAAATGCTCATTTGATTCCAGTACATTGAGATTAAACCATTTTCTTCCTTTAGGAATACATTTTTCCTATGCATTAACCATACTTCTACTTATTCCAGACCACTTAGTGATTTAGCACCATCTTGCCCAACACCTAGCTAACAGAATAGAAACAAGATAAAATTTGTTAATTAATATCTTTCATAGTAATTCAGAAATATTGAGAGAGGATATGGATATGATATGGTCTTAGGTCAAAGATCACAAATCTCAAACCCAATTCTGAATTCTGAATTACCAAGGAACCCTTTAATCAAACCACCAACCAGTCTTGAAGAAACAATTATTGTGTCCTTAAGTCCATGTCTGAGTCAATGGTAAAACTATTAACAAAATGGCCTTAGACCTCAGATTTATAGAGCCAAATGAACATGGTTAACTAATAGTTACTGAAGATAATGAGCACAATGATTAAGCTGAATAGGGGAATTATTCACGATTTTTGTTATTGCAAGTAGTAGAAACCCAACAAACTAGCTTTAGTGAAAAAGAGGAAAGAGGAGGATACTTGTTAGTCCTCATTGCTTGGAATGCTACAAGGAGAACTCTCAGAATTGAAGGAAGAACGGTAGGACCATGAAGTCTCAGAGCCCCAAGTCTCCTGAAGATTCTCATTCCAACCCTTACTTCTCAGCGTCTTCTCATCTTCCTCCCTTGCTTATCCTGTGAACAGACTCTTTCCATGCTCAGTGCACCATCACCTTGGCACCCCAATAAAGTGAGAACACTAGTTTCTCTCATCAAGAGTCCTGGGGAAGGACTATAATTGGTCCTGCTTGGGTCACATGACTGTTCTTTGGGTCAAACATTGTTGACAACAGGAAAAGATACTGTGATTGGCCAGACCTGGGTCATGTGATCACTCATTTGGCCTTTTTTTCCAGAAGGTTCATGGGAAACCTTGCAAGGCAGAGAACGATTGTTACCATGGCCCATTACACTAAAGTATCCAAAAAGGTAATTCTAATAATAACCTGGGAAGATCAGATATCTTGTGATTTACTATGAGTGACGAGTATATTGCATCAAGCACTATTCTAAACAGGAACAAATGTATGAAAGGGCAGAGAAACTCTCCTCCTAGCTGTGCAATTTGTCCAAATATCAGTGTAAAAATGTCACTAAATAATCAAATCCCATGGTCCTTAAACCAAAATTTCATCTTTTGGCTTGTAGAACTAAAGCTGAAGTTTAACAAGATGACCTCTAAAGTCTTTTCCAGTCTATGCACCCCAGTTAGAATAAAAATAGCACAATAAGAATAGTACACAAACCAAAATAGTGTACTCTTTTTTTTCAAGTATATTTTATTGATTTCTTACAGAGAGGAAAGGAGAGGGATAGAGAGCTAGAAACGTCGATGAGAGAGAAACATCGATCAGCTGCCTCCTGCACATCCCCTACGGGGGCTGCGCCTGCAACCAGAGTACATGCCCTTGACTGGAATCGAGCCCACAACCAGGGTACATGCCCTTGACTGGAATCGAACCCAGGACCCTTCAGTCCGTAGGCTGACACTCTATCCACTGAGCCAAACCAGTCAGGATGAAAATGGTGTACTATTAGTGTTATGAGCTATATTGTATTTCCCTAGTACCCACGAATCATAATTTTAAACCCTAACCTCCAGTACCTCAAAACATTACCATATTTGGAGATAGTCATTAAAGATTAAGACTAAATAAGGCCAGCCCAGCTGAGTGGCTCAGTAGTTGAGTGTTGACCTAAGAACCAGGGGTTAAGGTTTGCTTCCCAGTCAGGGCACATGCCCACGTTTTGGACTCAATCCCCAGTGTGGGGCATGCAGGAGACAGCCAATCAATGATTCTCTCTCATCATTGGTGTTTCTATCTCTCTCTCTCTCCCTCTCCCTTCCTCTCTGAAATCAATTTAAAAAAACAACAACACACCATTAAACAAAAAGATTAAATGAGGTCATTTGGGTGGGCCCTAATTAAATCTGAGTGATGATGTTATAGTAAGAGGAGATTAGGACACAGATGCACACAGAGAAGATTGGGTAAAGACAAAGAGAAAAGACAATCAGGGTAAAACCAACCCTGCCAACACCTTCATCTCTGACTTCCAGCCTTCAGAACTGTGAGAAAACAAGTTTCTGTTGGTTAAACCACCCCAGTCTTAGGTACTCTGTTATTTCATCCCTAACAAATTAGATAGTAAACAAAGGATTTCAAAAAGGGCTAAGGCACAGTTGAGATAAATTTAACATGTGGGGTGGAAGACCAAAAGGTTCTTTTAAGATTCTTTTCTAAAGTAGAATTCCCCCATGAGATTCAGGGGCCAGTACTAGTGACCTAATTATCTGAGGTGTACTAGTAAAAATATGATAAAATTGGTGAGAAGTTAAGAGAAATAAGGAGAGAAAAGTGGATAACAGACTTCACCCTTTTCAATATTTTACCAGGGCTAAGCATAAGGTGATTCTTTCATATCATGGCATTATAGTTGGCATGGCCAAATGGTGCATACCCAACCTCAGGGACCTGTAGGAGCCTGTCTCCTACATGACTTCGGGCTTACTGGGCTCCTGGTATGCGTCTCCATTGAGAATTTTGGAGTTCTCAGCAACCTGCCCTAACCCTTGGCTTTAAGAGGCAAATGGCTGAATGGCTGCTCCTAGTGATCACCTTTAAGAGCTCATCAGGCACAGCTTCCACTGAACCAAGCCTGTCTCACTTGATGACAGGAGGCTGGTAGTCCACACTGGGGTGACACCTGAACCTTCTGATTATAGTATTCTTGCCCTACCAGTCCTCCCTACCCCTGTCCCCTACATCACTGCTCTCCCACCAGGGACTCATCCCCCCATGTCTAGCCACACTTTACTAAAATAGAAAACTGATTCCTGCCTTCCTAGGCCTTCATCCACCCTGGTGGATATGCCTGGATCCTGGGCTTGCCTTACTCTGGTTCATTTAACAATTTGTTACTCTTGTCTTAGCTCTGACCTTCACCCTTTGGCAAATCACAGACACTGGGAGGTTCTCAGAACCAGGACCCACCAGCCTCTGCTTTTGAATAACATTAAGGTTCCAGCACAAAGCACAATGAGCATGTGGAAAAAGACATCCGTTCACCAGGAAACTGCCAACACAGCATACCCGCTACACAAAAACCTGACACTAAAGGGAAGCATTTTTAAATAGACTGATGGCTAAATGAACAGGGCTTGTGAAAATCATATAGGACTTTTGAGCTCATAAGCCTCATAATATCAGATCATCCCATTGGCAAAGCAGTGATCGTAAGGCTGTTAGGATGAGATCTGGAAATGGCTCTATTATTGAATATTACAATGATATTTGCCAACATGGGATTTTTGCTTGTGCGTACATTCAAATAAAATTTCTGGCCACCATTGTTTATAACGCAAATATATTAATATCTCCATATAACAAATTTCACAGAAGACAAATGAAATATTTAAATAATGAAAGCATTGTGGAGCTACTGAATACTGCATTTTACCTTAATGTTCTTTTTTCTTTTTTTATCACCCACAGACATTAAAAAACACACACCCGATAACGTCAAATGATGAGAAAGGCTACATTCAGGGAAATAAAGGAACCATAAATCAGAAAACTTTGGAGCTGCTAAAAGACACTTTAATTTTGTAGACAAAAGACTGCATTAAGGAGGAATAATGCAATAATAAAGGTGAACGAACCTCTATTGTCTGGCGTCTTTCTCTGTGGGAATTTTCCCACCCCTGACAGCTGTAAAGGGGGGAGGGGCACCGACTGTGGCTGCGCCTTTATTCTCTCACCCTTTTTCTCCCCAGCCCCTCCTCTTCTCCGTCAATAAATGTCTGCAATCATATTCTTGAGCTCCTGTGTGATTTCAAGGTTCATCTCTTCCATGCAGCTCAAACACTAATTATCCCAGCTGTAATTAGTAAGATAATTAAATACTGGCTCACTCATCTACCTTGGGTCGGGTCATGATTCTCCCAGAAGACCTTGAGCAGCTCCTCAAAGCTGATGTGCTCTGGCTGGTACACCACTCGGACTACTTCGGCATGCCCAGTTTTTCCTTGAAAGAAACAGAATGTACAACCAAAATTCACTGACAGCATCAACTTATTACAAGTTACTTATTAAAAAACAACCCACTAGACCAAGGCTAACATCCTTTTCTCTGAAGGGTGGGAGCATAATTGTGCTTCAGCTGAGGTTTTGTTCTAAGTCTCTGTCACTGGTTCTTTTCCCCTAAAAGCATGCAGTTGTCATTTATCAAGTTTCCTGACGATGCTGAATTCTCCACAGTGCTCTGTTTTTTTTTTAAATTTCACAAGAAAACAAGCTCGCGTTTTTATTTTTCCAATTTCACCCTTTTGAAACCTTATGGATCCCCTCTGACATAGTGCTTGAGATTTGAAACCCTGCAAAGGGGAATGAGTTGATTTATTTTTATCATCATCCCTTGCTGTATGCAGTAAGCTCAGCTGCAATACAGAGAGAGATGGTCCCAAATAGAGAAACTTGTAAAATGCAGACCTATAACTTGTTCATGTTAGATAAATTCATTAACAGAGGAACAATTTGCTGAGCTGTTAACACTAAGGCAAGGTCAGGTTCAGATACCCAGTGGGGCAGGAAGTGCTTTCTCAGCCCACTTTGTCTATGTGGTAAACAACTGCTGTAGCAAATGTCTGTCTCCAGCACCTGCGCCCATTCTCAAAGGTGGTCTCCAAGATTCTGTGGATCTGTGAAAAGGATATTTGCAGTATCACTTATACCTACGGAATTCATGCCCTTCCTTATTTTACAGTGTTAGGACATAGTAAATAATAGAACCGTCCATACAAACACCATCTCCATATTTAACTTTGTTGTCCATCTCTCTTTGGTCCTCTCATGTGTAGTAAAACATTTAGCCTCGCCTAAAGAGTTATCTGACCTTTGCATAGGCCTCTAGGTCGTGGTAATCATGTCACTGGTAGAAGTGGTGTTCTTTAGGGTGGGGCTCTCACACCAACAGCCTTAAGATAGAGACTGGGAATCTTAAGATTGAGCAGCTCCTCAAATCTTAGGATAAGGTTGGCTATACCCAACAATGTTAAGGTGAGGGCTAAAGACCAACCATATGACAGAGGGTGGGGATAACACAGACTGAGTTCCATTCTATGGACAATCATTCAATCTATCTATCATGCCTATGTAATGAAGCCCCAATAAGAACTCTGGACGCCAAAGCTTTCACCAGTTTCCTGGTGGGCCATACTCTCTGCATATGGTCATGCATGGATGCCAGGAAGTAACACACGGGCGAGTAACACCCTGACTGCATGGGACAGGACACAGAGGCTTTGCACTGGATCCTTCAAGTTTCTGCTCTATGCATCTCTTACTTTGGTCGATTTGCCCGAAAGAATCTGTAACTATGAGAATAACAGCTCTCAGTGAGTCCTAACAAACTATCAAACCTCGCCGGTTCCAGGAATCCCTTGAACTTACCCCTCAACTTGTAGTCCTATTTTCATATTTGTTGGTAGCCCCACCTTAATTCTCACAACCATCTTATGGTGTAGGCAGGGAAGGTGAAACTCCCATTTTACAAATACAAACATTAAAAGATGTGTAAGTTAGATTTTCACTGTCAAATAGCTAGCGAATTTCTGGACCATAACCTGAAAAAATACCTTCTGACTTCTTTCCAGGATTCTGTCTAACACATCAAAGCAAAGAGAGCAAAGTGAACATGAATCCAGAAAAGGAAAAAAATCTATTCATAATATTTTATCTTCTTTCATATTTAAATTTGTTTGATTATAGAGACAATAATTTGCAAAGAATATGAAGCTTAGAAAATGTGGAGAAGTATAGAAAAGAAAATGAAAATCATCTATACTTCTCCCTTATAAGTACTATCAATATTTTTTACTCATCTCTTTCTGGATATGTACTAGATATGCGCATGTACACACACACACACACACACACACACACACACACACCGCCACATACAACTTGTTTTAGTATAATCACTGCATCAGGCTTTATCCACTTACCAGCATGTTGTATTTCCCCATATCACTGAAATTTTTAAAAAATACCATTTATAGTGACTACTAGTATATAACACTCCAAAGAGGGTTGTACTATTATTACTTATTCAATCATTCCCTGTCATTGGGCATTTAGACTGAATCCTGTTTTTATCTATGAATATATCTTCTCACATTTCTGAGGCTGCCTCAAGCCATGTATTTGTGGAATTTCTAAATCAATGTATGTAAACGTTTTTAAGTTTCTTGATATCTAATGTCAAGCTGCCACTGGCAGCATATCTGAGGGCCAGTCTCAGTCACTATTATAATGTTTTTGATCATTACCAGTTTATAGCTACAATGTAATATTCTATCATTTTATTTTTAATACATTTAATTAGTGAGTTAAAAAGTCATGTTTATTAACTATTTAAATTTTTTCTTTTTCTAAGTCTTATAATGCATTTTTTATATTGGGTTATTAATATTTTATTAATTGGTCAGTCTACATAATTTTAATTCAAATGCTATAGTCATGTCAGTTAAGCATCTAGACAGATTTTATGCTAACAGATATGAAAAGAAAAATGAGGAAATTATAGGAAGAAGATACATTAAGTATAATAATCATGTTATTGTAAAACCACTTTTGATCTATTTTAAAATATTACTATTTTGTATTTTGAAATGTTTAAAGATATGATTTAACTACATAAGAAGTAAAGCCCTAAGAATATTAAAAATGGCAACAATATGTTACCAACATGACAAATAGAATTCATAAGAAAGGCATAGAAACCACACTAGAAATAGGCAAAAGATGTAATCATACATAGAAAGATATAAACATAAATCAAGACTAAAAAATGCTCACGTTTTTTGTGGTAAAAGGAAATAAATGCATATTGAAACATTAGGGTACCATCTCTTCCTTATTACATTTTGTAAAACTGCTTACAAGTGCCCTTGGTGCTGATGAGGAACTCTAGAACCTGCCTTTTCCCTTGACTGGTGCAGTGACTACACCCTTCTGAAACACCATTAGCATATGCAGAAAAGCCACACAGATTAAGAATAATTCACCCTAAGTGATCCAGACAATAGATCTCAAAGATATAACTCCAAACAATGGAAAAGAGACGTGTGCACACACAGAAAATTCACTCCATCATCATTACAATGGTGGAGTATTATAAGTAACCCATAAGTCAAAGAAACAAACAAAAAGAAGCAAATTATGGCAGAGCCACAGGATGAAATATCATGTAAACATTAGAATACAATGTCCCAACCTTGGTAAAAGCTGTTACTTCTTACTGAATGCTGATAAAATGACAAGCAGTTTCCCTACTTGATATTCTTTCAGGCTTACAACAAATTTTTCTATTGTGGAAAATATATATAACATAAAATTTACCATTTAACCAAATTTAAGTGTACAACTAAGTGCAATCACTTGTGCTTCCCTCACCACCATCCATCTCCAGAACGTACTCCCTATTTCCTTCCTCCTTTCAGGCGATCATCATTCTACTTCTGTCTCTTTAATTCAACTACCCTTGGTACTTGATATAATTGGAATCATATAGTATTTTTGTGTGTGACTGGCTTATTTCACTTAGCATAATGTCCTCAAGATTCATCCATGTTGAAACATGTGTCAAAATGTCCTTTCTTTTTAAGGCTAAATAATATTCCATTGTATGTATATACCATAGTTAGTTTATCCATCCATCCATCTCTCCAAGGACACTTGGGTAGCTTCCACCTTTTGGCTAGGGTGAATAATGCTGCTATAAATATGGCCATACAGATATTGCTCACAACTTTACGAGATGTGCTCCCCATTTTACATATAGGGAAGATGAGGCCTCTCCACAAGCTTTTTCACACAATGTCTCATAGCCAGTAAGTGACAGGATCCAGCGAAGATCCAACCAGGAGTTAATGGGAGGTGAGGCTTGGGCTCCTTGTACGACTCTGAGCCAGTCTTCAGATACCTAAAGTCACCAAGTGACAGAAAATAGAACACAGGCAGTGGCCCAGGTGAGAAGTCACAGTTGTGAGGTAATTGACATCCAGGCTGGCAAGACTTTTCCAAGATTAGGTTCTTCTTTTGTGGCAGCAATAAGGGGTCAGGAAAGATTTCCACTCACCAGCAAACACTTTCAGACATAATCTGAGCACTGACATTACTTTTGGAGAGGTTTTGAAAAATGCTTGGTTGTTTAAAAGAAACTATTACCATTAAAATTCAAGATCCACCTGAATTAATAAACAAAGTGTGGAGAAGCCTTCCTCAAACTCACCTTTAAGTTTCTTTACTTTATTTCTCCAAAGTACAAGAGCCAGTGTAAAAATACACAGTGCAAATGATCAAAAGGATTAAGGGGCCAGAAGCCACTTACAGAAGTGTCCACGCCTCCAGGAACTTACCAATGTGCCAGGCTAATTTGATTCCTGAAACCAATCTGCAAATACTTTCTGGTGCTTCCAGAGATAAAAGGCTATATCTTAAAAATACTTCTAGCTGTTTCTTCACATAACTTTGTGCAAACAGCATAATAGATGTGATGTGCAAACGTGCTTGTTAACAACTCACAGTAGCATGATAAGTGCTTTCACATTGTTCAAAAATATCTTGGAGAAAAAAAAAACAAATGAAAAGGATGAATATCCTCCCTGGGCATTTCCCTGTGTGGCCTCACGGGGTAGATATGAGCAGTCATTCCTTATAAGACAAAACATCCCAGAAGAGACATAGGGGAGAGTTCTGGGGTCAGAAAAATTGGGCAGTCTGGAGACCTCGGGAGCTTTTTAGGAGCCAAATCATCCATACACGGCCAGGTGTTTTTAAATAGCTCCCCAAGATAAATAAGCCGATTTTTAAAAGCCCTATGTCATAGCTCTCCATTCCATGGGGGGAATGTTGTCTTCAACTCTTCCAGGTTAGCCTGATTAATGTTTACTACATCAGGCAGGTGAGGAGAGAAGAGAGAGCAGGCAGGTGGCCTACTCAGTAGGACTGGGCACATGATCTGAC